TGCAAATATTTGCAGATTCTAAATATTTGCGGCTGTTTCTGATCCCTAACCCCTGCAAATATGGGGGACTCCCTGTATAAGGATAGAAGGACACAATATTGGTCATCTGGATAAAAATTAAGCAACCTCAGCTTTAGGTACAAGAACTTAAGGAATTGATTTATTTATATTTTCTAGGGATAAAAAAAATAGTTCTAGTATGCCATCAAATAGAGTACCAGATGGTGGTTCTGCTCTAAAAAGTGGTCAACTTTATATTACAACATTAACCTAAGAACCCAAATCATGTTCTTAAACAGACTTGTTAGATATAGACTCCCATGTGAATATCATGCATTATGTCCAGCATGTTCAGAAATATCTAATTGGCTATATATTAGGTTGGTGCATAATTATCAGGCATTTTTGTAGGAGTTATTTGTTAATAAAAATTGCTGTTTTATTTAATTTTTTTTAATAAAAATATTATTTTATTTTCAGGTTATAAAAATGAATCTCTATAATCATACTCATTTAAAAATGGTATTTTTGAATTATTATGTTTCTTTTTCATAATAAATATTGTTTAAAAACGCCTGATAATTATGCACCAACCCAATACATCCATTATTTTTATTTTTTTTTTTTTTTTCAAGATCAGTGATTAAAAATGTCTTCTAACCCAAAAGGGTTGATATGCTGGTAAAACAAACAACTAAATAAATAAAAATGGCTTCAAGTGAATAATTCCTATATGCCTTAAAGATATCTTTCATCAGATCTTAGACTGGTGTTATAGAATCACAAAGAAAGAACTTTACCAAATAACAGAAACCATATTGCTTGAAGACTTTCAACTGCAGCAACACCTAAAATGGATACCACATGTAACTCTGAGAAAATAATGACATAATCAACCTGTTGAAGTTTCACACCTACTTCAAACAAAAGGTTAGGAAGAAAGCAGTCGTCAATACTGGAAAGTGGACTTGAGAAATCTATTTTCCTAAAATTTGGTTTTAAGAGAAAAACTTTGTTTCAAATGGCTAATCTCATCCTTACCATAATGATTTGAGTATTAAATTATAATTATATAAATTGTATAATAACATACTCACTGTGTTCAGTGATTTTTATATATGGTTTGTTTGAGCAGTCTGAGTTCATAAAATTTAGAACAAGTTAAAATATTCATTCTATGAATTATTTGGTTGTGTATCCTTATCTTCTTTAGTGATGGTTAGGCTTTTGCTTGCTAACATCTTCAGATAGAAAATTTTCAAGCAGCTTTTGAAAAAATAAAAAATTCTCTACTGAAGTTTTCAAGATTTAGTTGATACAATATAGACCTCTAAAGAGATCACTACCCAAAACATGACAACAAAGAAAAACAATTTAAAATCCTGAAATAATGATAATAGTTACAGAATTTTGAACAACTCATTAAGACATTTCTTTCCTTTCTTTTATATCCTCTGAATCTATAAAAATTCAGCATGTGGAATTGGTAAATAGTAAACAATTCAAATGCTTCAGTGTATGGCTTATTTATATCAAATTTAATATAGGAAATAAGAAAATTGGACACAAAATAAGCTGTGCTAGGGATAGTTTCAACCAACATGACAAATTATTACAAAACCTTAACCTAAAAACTCCAGTCATGTTCTTTAATAGCTTCTTCAGATTGTGACTTTCATATGGATTTCATGCATTGTGCCATATTTGTTCAGAAATATCTAAACTGTCAGCAGTATGCAAAAACCTTTCTCAGATCAATTGTTAAAAATGGCTTCAAGCAAATGAAGCCTGTAGCTTTTAGCATGGTCCATTCTTCAAACCTTGTGAACTGGTACTACAGAATCACAAAGAACTGTACCACAAGCCACATCACTTGAAGACTATCTAAAATGGATATCACATGGAACTTGAAGAGAAAATGACATAATCAAGATGTTGATGTTCAGCACTACTTCAAACAAAAAATTAGGAAGACAGCAATATTGGAAAGAGCAATAACAGTGGTCTTGTGAAATCATTTTCTTGAAAAAAATTTTTTTTTTTTATAAATTTCAGCCAAAGGTAATATTTGATACTCGGTCAATGAATATCAAATGTTTCCTTATAAGGAAATTGTTAATGTCATCTCTCTTATATATATATATATATATATAATCATTAATTAACAAATTGGAGCCTTTAGAAAGCCATGGTAATACTTTATTTCACGAGACCGATAAAATTCAGTTTTGCTTCATCAGAAGGGTTTTTCTAAAGTCTTGGATTTTTTAATTATTACTTGCTCTGTTTATTACATTGAGTTCTCAGGATATATTTCTCTCACTTAAACCTCTTCAACTCACCTCTAAAACTTCTCTCTGTTAAGTTTCAATCTCCCACCTTCTCTCGTCTGTTACCCCTCTCTTTAGCTCTAACATTCGTCCCACACTCTCATACTTACACTCTCTCTAAATTCTATTTTTATTTCCGGAGTTGTTTTTTCTGTTTTCTTTTTGAATTTGTAGGTCTGATGAATTGGATCGTATTTACAATTCCAATGGAATAAATTATGACCATGGAATATTCATGTTTAAGCCTTTTTATTATATCCTTACTCTATCCTGGACATAAGTTCTACCTGGATTCTATCCTCTTGGAATTTTTTATTCAAAAAAATATGTATGTTATATATATATATATATATATATATATGCTCTCTATCTTTTATTTATATATAATATATACATACATATACTAATAAGGATGTGTCAGAAATTGTATACTTGGAATTTACATTTACTGATACCTTCTGTATAAAGGTAATGCAAGAATTGTAAATAATACTGTTTCATGTATAAGTTTAATCAACTTAGTTATTTGCATATTTAACCAAGTTATAATAGCCTAATTTTGTTTGCACTTTTATTATCTCCCCTTATTTTGGTTTCTATCTCTTAATTTCTCTCTCAAATGTCTTTCTGCATTGTATTTAGTTATTGATATGAGAACAAGGACTGTTTTTGATTGATGTAACAGTTGTTTGATATTTTCATGCAGCTGTTCACTATAATATGTTAAAGATATTTATACTTTCTGAAGATTTTATAAATATAAATCTAGAGAATGCTATCAGATGATTAGCAAATACAAACAATGAGCCCAAGGTTTAGATTACAATTCATTGGCTCAAAACAAAGTTTATAAAATTAGTCTTAAAAAATCCCTTTTGCTGGATGCTTTTTATAAAGCTGTGCTTAGCAAATCAGCCTTACAAATGTGTTCACTACTAAGTGGGTGCTCTACTATTATGGCCTTGTACAAGACTAAGCTTAGTAATATTAAATCCATCCCCATACATTTTTGTCTTTGTACATTTTTACTAAATGAATTTAACTAAAAAGTAGCAAATCTTATACATTTATAAATAGGGCACACCATAAAATAAAGATTAATTATTAATCTGGAATATAAAATACAAATAAATATTAAAACAATTTTTTTTAATCATTTCACCCTAAGCAAGTGGATACAGGGAGTGAAAAATAATGAAAAGACTTTAGAAAGAACAAGGGATAAACTTCTTCTGTTCAAAAGACCAGGGAGGAGTGTGAATCCAGGCAAAAGGCAAACTTGTCTACTCCTATTAAGAAAAATAAATAATTAATAAATAAAATTATATTCTATAACCATTAAGCAGTATGAATTGGAAACTTTGACCTTTGTCCATTTTCTTTTGGAGCTTACCTGGCTTGGATGATTGGTATTTAGTCATGGTGACCTATTAGCAGGCAAAATTTAGTCATATATAGTGTTTTATAGCAAAAAAAAAATCTACAGCATATTCCAATTATTGAACTCCATTTAAAGATAGTCAACAGTAGATTGCTGCAAATGCAGCCAAACTCCATAAAATATATGCAATATATAGCTACCTACTTTCTTATTCATCATCCACGTTGTTTAATTATAGGTCTAAGAATATAAAATAACTTAAGCCTTATCTCCGTGGTATCCATTGATCTTGAGAAACCATGGATCTGCATTGGGGCAGTTTCTGATTTGGTCAATACTGGAGGTTCAGTGTCTGTCTTATCAATCAAATGGTGGTTTGAAATCCATGTCTTGCTGCTACATTGAGTTGATGCTGAAGTATCCTCTGCAGAGAACAGGCCTGGGCCTAGTTTATTTTTATTCTAATGGAAGGTCAACAGTTGTCTATGCAGTATGTCTCTCCTCTTAATGCCACTGATATTGTCCAAGCAAAGAACAGTGGACCAATAATGCTCAGTACTGGTGCTATCACAGATGCCAGAACAAGATTGGATACATCACTGATTTTAGGACTTCAGCTCCAAAATGAATTCTGGATTTACTCTAGAAATCTTTCCCATGATTCTGTCTGGCTGTAAAACCATTCGAGGTTTGAAATCAGTTTGACTGCCATGTTCAAATGAGCTCCAATTTTAGTTCCACCACTTCAGAAATTTACAGCTAGTATTTGCTATGCTACATGCACAGTTGAATCACTGTTATTTCCTCTATATTCCACTTGTAAAGCAGAAGTTTAACTCTCTTTTTTTTTTTTCTTTTTTTTCTTAGCAAGAACTGATACTTTGTGGAAGAGACTCCCACGTGGATGCTTCTATGAACACTGCAATTTTAATCACTTCAAGTCGATTATCATCTATCATGCTTATCTTCATAATCTTCACTTCCTACCACCACTACTTAAATTCATACCATCCACCTTATTCAGTAACCTTCTCTATAGTTGCCCTTCAGCTTTGTATTAGATGAAGTTTAATAAAATTTAAAAAAAATTTAAAAAAACTAAAAAAAACTGCCAGACTGTGGAGTTCACCTACCTAAGCATTTTTATAAAAGAAAAATAAGACTAAACTTGTCTCAAATCACAAAATCATAAACTTTTGAAACAAATTAAGACTATTACAAAGTTAATCATTATTAATGATACTTCAAAATGCGTGTGTGTATATAATATTTATTTTTATTCTTTTCAGAGAATCTACTATATCTCTCTGGAGTTCTACATGGGTAGAACCCTGTCTAACACCATGGTCAACTTGGGCATCCAGAATGCTTGTGATGAAGCCATGTACCAGGTAAGACTATTATCAGTACTGATCTTAAATCTTGCAGATAATGATTAGAAAATTGAACTTCCTCAGCTTTTATTTCTTTTTCTGTAAGGTAATGGCAACTTGTGCCAAGATTGATTTAAATTTTGCTTAATCTATGATGTCTGTACAAACTATTTCTGTCAAAGCAACAAGGTACAACTCACATCACTGATTTGCAGTAACTGAAAACATTGGAAAGCATCTAAAATCTATGAACAGTAATAGTAGAATGACAATGTGCTGAAAAGTTCTTGGCCTAACCATGAATGAAATTCAAAATAAATTCTGTTTGGTTAGATTTTGGGAATTATATGAGCTGGGCGATGAAATGTTCTCAGCCCAACCGGCTGAGAACATTTCATCACCCAGCTCATATAATTTTTTTTTTTTTTTTTTCTATTAGCTAAAATATTGTCCAGCATTATTAAGTTTTATATAATGATGTTCATCTTACCATGATGAAATATATAACTAGAATTCTGATAAAAGTAATACTCATCTTAAATTAAGGGTACAAACATTACTTTTTTTTTAAATTTAAGAGAACGGTAGTCTAGAGGAGTGTTTCTCAACCGATGCACCCTGAAAGGTAGCCAGGTGTGTCCCAAGTTAACAGAAAAGTAATTCATGAATTATTTTTATATTTAACAAAATCTTTATTTTTAAAAAGCTAGATACTCCAAGCACATGGCGTCTAAGTCAAATCTTTGTCATTTGATATTTTAAACTGGATGCTTGAATTGGGTCAGCCTGAGAAAAGACTGAGTTGGTTGTAGGTGGTGCTGGAAGCAGCAAGAGTTGTGTCCTCTTTCACAATAAGCTGTTGAGAGAAGACCTACTTAGAGTAGGAGACACACAGACTATTTGGACTATTAAGCTAAAGGAGACAACTTATATCAGCCTGTCAACTAAGTGTAGGTATTTATCAGTGTATCGATATCACAACAGAATTTGACACAAGGTTAGATATTAATGTGGGATTTTGGAAGTCCTACAAAAACTGCTCAAGCTCACTTGATACTTCTTTTGGAGATGTCTTGGGTACTAAAAACCCCAGCCTCCTTCCAAAGGAACAGTACTGTCTGGAGGGATTATCTAAATAGATATTAAAAATCTAATGAAATTAAGTAGATTTTATTAGCTATATTCTTCAGAATTCTTTTCAATCTTTATTTTAAATAATTCATCTGGAAACTTTTAAACATATAATTTCATTTATTTCTGAGACAACTGACCATTACTTACTTTTGGTCATGAAACTGGAGAAATGATTCTTTATTGGACTGAAGCAATGAACATTTTTTTTTTTTTTTTTTTCTTTTCCTTGATAGCTTGGCCTTGATATTGAAGAACTGGAAGAAGTCGAGGAAGATGCTGGTCTTGGTAATGGTGGTCTTGGACGTTTAGCTGCCTGCTTTTTGGATTCCATGGCAACACTCGGACTTGCAGCCTATGGTTATGGTCTTCGCTATGACTATGGAATCTTTGCTCAGAAGATCGTCAATGGTTGGCAGGTAAAGCACTTTTTAATGACTTTTTTCTTTTACTTATACATGTACACAAACAAAATACAAAGTATGTGTGTGTATGTGGTTATTTATATATAGATGTGTAGTGGCAATAAAGTCACTATAAAATTACTTACAATAACAATTAAGATAAATTTTTGGACTGTTGATTAATTGCTTTATTAAGATGGTTCTGGTTAATAACAATAAAATGCTATGGTAAACAATAGTAAATTAATTATTGATACTGTTCAGATTGCAAGTCACCTGCTTGAATGCTTTGCTTTTTCTTATAAGTAACTGTATAGTGACTTTATTGCTACCCTGTGTGTGTATGTATGCATGTATGTGGGCATGTAACACTTTCTCTCACCAGAGATTGTGTAATAGATAGAAGCTCAAAAATCAGAACTAAGTTATAATTCCAGTCTGGTCCATTACATTCACTTACGTGCAAATTGTTGTAGAGTAGCTAGCACCTCTTCAGCACTGTACCAGATGGCCTGGTTCATGGCTTTAAATAGTTTACGATTAAGGACTTTAACAGTTGATTAATAAGTCGATACAAATCCGATTAATGTTCGGACTGATCTTACTTCATTTGGCTATACAGCATTTGACCCTCCTCTATTCCTTGTAAGTTGTCTTGTTAATTGTTTTGTAACTTATTGTTCTGTGTTTTTTGTATGTATCTGTTAGCACTGGATACTGGTGCTGAATAAATATATTAAGCACTCATTCTTCTCTGTATCATTTGCCTCTACAATACAACACAAATACACTTGAGAAAGGTATGAATTTGTTTCCTCTCTTCCACTTCCAGCCCTGGTTTAAATAAGACTTGTATTGGGAGGGGTAGGAATCATTATTCCACAAAAGTTGGTAATGTAATGTGTTATTCTTACAATTGAAAATGTTTTTGTCTTTAAATAACCCACAAAGTATTGATAAGCTGTTAAAAAAAAATATCAATCTGTCACCAGAATTCTCCACTTCATACAGATGGTCAACTATCTTGTACCTGTCATCTACTCTTCTGGTGATATATAAATGTTATACATTTATACTAGGCACATTTTTTTTTTTTAAATGAACTCTAAAATTGCATCTATGATGACACAGAAAAACTGTTACATATATTACACACAAACACACACACACACATATATATATATATATATATATATATATATATATATATATATATATATATATATATATATATATACACACAGCCTTTTCAGCATACCTAAGGTTAAAATGAATTTTCATAAAGATTAAATCTTTCTTAAAGCTTTCATTTTATTTTTAGCTTTAATTGAAAGCTAAAGGAATTTTTCTTTATTAAATCATTTTCCAAGAGTAAAATGTACTTTTCTGAAATTTTATTGGAGGAATATTAACTGATTTAAAGTATAATTAATCTGATTTGAAAAAATATTATTTACTTTAAGTTGAAAATAACAAATGGATTTTTAAAACGAACAGTAGTAGTGATTAAGTGTTCCTGATGGCTCCTAAATCACTCGTCAAGTGCTTCAGAAACAGCTGTTAGGCGATTTATGAGGTGTTGACATGTTTATTATTGTTCTATGGAGACTTTATTTGTTAAAATATAATTTAAGAAAATGTTTGAATGCTTTTATAAAAATATAATTTTTAAGTACTCAGTAATCTTAAAAATGTTAGAAATAATCTCTAATCTAATTTTAGGAATGCTGGCCTTAAATTTAATAGTCATAGATCTTATTTTCTGATAACATTGCATATGGTCATCCATGCTTTCAAAATTGGAATGTTTATACACATAAAAAAAATTAATTTTAAAAATCTCAGTGCATAATAATTTATATTAAGCTTTTCAATTTTCACTTCATAAATATAATCTTCACAGAATAACTTAACCTAAAGTTTGAAGAATTTTTAAAAGATTTTTGAAACTTTATAAATTATTATAATTAAAAGAAAATGAAAACAATTCTTGTAAAAATTCATTATTCATTGAAAAAGATTTTTCTTCATATTATAATATTCTTAATATATATTATTTATAAAAGCAGTTAAAAGCTTATCTAATTAAATAATGTCAGTTTTATTGCAGTTTCTATTTTATGATTCAGCAGATTTTTGGCAACTGAGAAAAAAAAATGGATGATCTACATTCTCCAAGGAGTCCTGTATTTAACTAATAAAACAAATTTAGAGGATGGAATTTAATTTCTAGATATTTCATGAAATTAAAAGGAGTAACAGATGAAAACAAAAAAAAATCCTAAAAAAATAATGATTTAAAATCTGACAGTTATTTAATTTTTATGAGAATTTCCAAATTAATGTGTTATTTTACTGGAAAAAAAGACACAAAAATTTCCATAACCACTGTTTATGCATAAAAAAAGATTTTTAAAGAAAATTTCAAGTGTGTTAGAAAAGAATAAAAAATTTTTTTAAATACTTTGGTCTTTTTTCTTAATAACATAAACATTTTGATAAAACTTTGTTTTTTATTAAGTTTGGGGTCTTTTTCATCATGGTATTTTTTTTTTCTTTGGTGAATAAGTGGAGGTAATTTTTCTTTTGTCTCTATTCATATTATCTTTTTACAGATATATTTCTATTTATTCTAGCCAAGGACTAGAACAAATAATAGAATTATAATTGGCAAAAGAACCTAGGATAGTAGTTTGTGCTGCATTCTTGCTTTTATGTATGACTATATATTTTAGTTTTCTTTTTGCTAAAATAATGATATCGCCAGTGAAATCCAAGCTTGCTTTATTCACAATTCTCTGAGAGATTACCTTTATTCACAATTCTCTGAGAGATTACCTTTATTCACAATTCTCTGAGATATTACCTTTATTCACAATTCTCTGAGAGATTACCTTTATTCACAATTCTCTGAGAGATTACCTTTATTCACAATTCTCTGAGAGATTACCTTTATTCCTTTATTCACAATTCTCTGAGAGATTACCTTTATTCACAATTCTCTGAGAGATTACCTTTATTCTCTCTGAGAGATTACCTTTTATTCACAATTCTCTGAGAGATTACCTTTATTCACAATTCTCTGAGAGATTACCTTTTATTCACAATTCTCTGATTACACATTCACAATTCTCTGAGAGATTACCTTTATTCATTCTCTGAGAGATTACCTTTATTCACAATTCTCTGAGAGATTACCTTTATTCACAATTCTCTGAGAGATTACCTTTATTCACAATTCTCTGAGAGATTACCTTTATTCACAATTCTCTGAGAGATTACCTTTATTCACAATTCTCTGAGAGATTACCTTTACTGAGAGATTGATCCTTCTTTCCAATATTGTGTGTATGCAAACATGTCTTATGAGGCTGATAATTATCATGTGAAATATTTTCTCTTGTCTTGCAAACTGTCGATAGTAAATTAATTCACCAGGAACTTGATTTACTGTCAACAGCTTGCAAGACTAGAGAAAATGTTCCACATGATTGTTGTTAACTTGGTCAACTCTGAAACAAGATCATGTATAATATATATATGTGTGTGTGTGTGTGTGTGGTCTTGTGTACAAGTTGACCAAATTAATGACAATCATTGGTATTTATAAGATACTAAACATTAGTCATACCTCTTAATAGTTTTGATACTTTATACAAAATTATCATGATCGACTTGTGCAGCATTGCCTTTGCATTTCACATGCCCATCAAAAATTGGTATTTGACAACCAAAACTTAAAATTCTAGCATATTATTATCTCTTCCTCAATTTGTTTTGTGGACATTGTGAGAAGCAATTGTATAATCCAGATTGTTTATGGTCTTTATTCATCAACAAAAACAGAAAAAAAATCAAGTAAACACATCTGGGTCCTGATTTAATGAAACATGTTATGAAGATTTGCAATTAATGTACCATTTGTTTAATTTGTTAGATTAATCCATTGCATTAAAAAGAAATTATGAAATTAATTTAAAACATCTGGGGGGTGGGGATTTCATGTAGAGTTCATTCTGTGATTTAATGTATTTAATTTTTTTTCTTTTTTACTCTCTCTTGTTCTTCCTGCAGGTTGAGGAACCAGATGACTGGCTCCGTTATGGCAACCCCTGGGAAAAATCTCGCCCAGAATACATGTTGCCAGTAAACTTCTATGGCCGTGTTGAGCATACAGAAAAGGGTGTCAAATGGGTTGATACACAGGTATTTAAAAATAAAAATTTTTACTGATTTCATCTGATTAATTTTTGAAATGAAAATTATGAATGGTGTGTAATGAAGAAAATTTGTATGTTTTTTTTTTTTTTCCCCCCAATATACTAATACTTATTTTAATCTTGGAGAAAAATATACAAAAGCCTAGGAAGTAGTAAAATGTGTTCAATTCTGGATATTTTCCCTTCTATTTCAGCTTGTATTTGCTCTTCCCTTTGATAATCCTGTCCCTGGCTATGGCAATAATACTGTCAATACTCTGCGTCTTTGGTCTGCCAAGGCTCCCAACAGCTTCAGCTTGAAATTTTGTAAGTAAGCTTGTCTATTTCCTTTAAAAAACCGTTTCTTTCCCTCGACTTTGCAGATGTCTCCGTTTTCTATCGTTTTTTTTCTATATTTTTTTTTTTTTTTTTTTGTAAGCTGTAGATATCTTAGATTTTAAAAAGGAAGAGCTAACCTTTTATTTTAATGTCACATTTCAATCATATGTAATAAATTGAAATTTGGGGGAAAAAATGCAGTTTTTATAATAAATCCAATAACTTTAATAAAAACTACTTAAAAATTTAACTCGAGTTTATTTGCCATCTAAACTGTTTTAAGCCTGCCAAAAGTTTTTCAATACAAATTCAAGTTATTAAAGTTTGTGATTTGCATAATAACTTCAGACAGACTATATACATATATATTTATGGTCTTTCTGAAAAGAATTCAACTAATTTATATCAATGAAACATACTTTACTTAGAACAATGTCACTTTACTTTCTTTCTAAGTACTCCCTTTGTGATCTCACACATATCCCAGAATCTTTTCCACTTTTCAAAACAGACTGCAAATTTTCTTTTAGGATCACCATTTATCACATTCCTCTTAATCTCATCCAGTCTAAAATCTACTTTTCAATAATAATTTTTAGCTTTAGTAAAAATTTGAGCTGCAGGTGGATAATTAGGCTTGCCTGATGTAACATTTTGCTAAAAGAATCTTGCCCAAGGCATGCAGAATGGGCAGGTATATTGTCATGAAAAATGTGATGGTTACACAGTACACAAAATCATTTAATAATATCTCATTGCTGACTGGATAATTCCTGGCTAAGAGTGTTCATGGATATGCAGTAAGGTCCCTTCCAGTTGGCCACAAAGCTGTACATCTGATTCTGGAGATGTTCAAAATTGTTGTCTGCTTTTCAAACAGACTTTGCATATGAAATAATTAAAATAATAGAAAAAAAATGCAACTTTGTGAATATAAAGCAAATTAAAGATGAATAAAACACTTAAACTTGTTAGTTGGTAATAATTCAACAATTAATAAGCAAGTATCTTAGGTGGTTTTCCATAATGTTTTCATTAAGACAGGTGCTAAGAATGGCATCATCTGTGTGGCTTGTGTTGCTGGGAATGAGCCAAGCTTGGCTGGTCATTTGTATTAGCCACTATTCTTTTTTAATTAGTCTTCCTTACCAGAGGAAAAGAGATCCTTTTCTTACCTTAAAAATTAAATGCTTGAGGGCTGTAAGTTTGGCTGAAGTATTATGCTGATAACAAAAGCAATACAAAGGAGTTCAATAGTCTGAACTTATCTATTTTTAATGCCTGGTAACTTTTTTTTCATAAGATAATCACTTCTCAAAATAAGACACTACCTTTATATGATATACATTCAATAAATTTCTTCTGTTTTCATGAAATCCTTTCATTATTTCTTTATTTTTTTTTCATTCCGTTTTTCCTAACGGACTCGCTATTCCGTTTTCCTAACGGACTCGTCATTCCGTTTTCCTAACGGACTAATTCCGGGACTGGACTTCGTCATTCCGTTTTCCTAATGGACTCGCTATTCCGTTTTCCTAACGGACTCGTCATTCCGTTTTCCTAACGGACTCCTAACGGACTCGATTCCGTTTTCCTAACGGACTCGTCATTCCGTTTTCCTAACGGACTTTCCGTTTTTCCTAACGGACTCCGTCATTCCGCTTTTCCTAACGGACTCGTCATTCCGTTTTCCTAACGGACTCGTCATTCCGTTTTCCTAACGGACTCGTCATTCCGTTTTCCTAACGGACTCGTCATTCCGTTTTCCTAACGGACTCGTCATTCCGTTTTCCTAACGGACTCGTCATTCCGTTTTCCTAACGGACTAGTCATATTTTTATTGCTTACACTTCAATGATGATAATCTAAGTAAAGTTTGGAAAGTTGGGAATTAAAACAGAAACCTAAAACAATAAGAATGTTTTTTTTTAAAAAAAAAAATAGTGTCTGATAATTTCTTTTTCTATTAATCTCTATAGTCAACAGTGGTGAGTATATCCAGGCTGTTTGTGACAGGAACTTGGCTGAAAACATCTCAAGAGTCTTGTATCCAAATGACAACGTAAGTGAAACAGCATTTCTTTTCAGAAAGTTTTCTCAAATAACATGTTGTTGTACAAAAAATTATTCTTAAAATGAATCTAAATAATTCAGATATTTCTTACACTGACAAATATGATAAAAGGATTTTTTTTAATCTTACCAGTCAATCATGTAAAATATTTATTTTATTTACTCACTTAAAATAATAATATATTCTGTTCATTATCAAGTCAGTCTCTATAGAATGTATAAATATTTGCAAATGGTAATTATCACTAAGCTTTATTATTATTATTATATCATGAGTATACCACTATGGCTGATAAGTGTGCAGACAGGTAAAGAGAAATTATTATAATTAGCAGTTAATACACCTAGAGTTATCTCCTTCGAACATAACCTTTTTTTTTCTCCTGTTAATTTATATATAATTAAAAATTACCTGGAAATTGGTGATCTATTTGAACTGAAATTTGCTTTATTCACTGATTTGGCTCAATACCATTTTAAATGGCATCAAAAATTGTACTATGTGCCATTTTGCTATGTTACAGGAAAAGAAACTAATAAATTATTTATTTTGCAGTCTATTCCAATGACATCTCTTATTGATATCCTGTTGAGCATATTTAAAAAAAAAAAAAAAAATTGGGGCATACACCTTTTATATTATATAAAGCTAAGTTTAATAAATATTTTAAAAGGCTTTTTAACTTTGAAAATTTAATATGCCATAGTTAGCAAAGCTCACTTTTATTACACAATTCATTATGTATTAATTTTACATTTCTTTGACCATTAAATTTCATCTTTTAATTACTTTTACTATTATTTTTAACACTGAATTGATTGTCTTGCAGATCTTTGAAGGTAAAGAATTGCGTTTGAAGCAGGAATACTTCCTTGTTGCTGCAACTCTGCAAGATGTCATCAGGCGCTATAAATCTTCTCGATTTGGTTGCCCTGATGCTGTACGCACTTCTTTTGACAGCTTCCCTGAGAAGGTAAATGTCTCTTGCATCATTTTCTTCCAAATTTTTTATATCCCAGCAGGAATAATTCATATTGGTTGACTTAAAACATGTACAAGATCTGTTAGAAACTGATCTAGCTATTCAAAATTAGCAAAATATAACAGCCTACTTAGGGCAATGGCAACTTAGTCCTCTTCAAATACTCTTCTAATCTGCTGCATTTATTTCAATGTCCTTTTTCCTTAAATAGTTTACAAATTCTTCTTTCAGGATAGTCATCAGCCAATCCATTCATAGACTAAAATGTTGTGGTGGTGGTTGTTTAAGCCATCCTGGGTAAGACAATAAACTACATCCAACAGCAAGGCCTCTGATCAGGTGGTTTTGAGGAGTGTGGAACCACCTCTTAATTGCTGGTGTTCCCAGGTCTACCCTGACCCGGGGTAGTAGCACCTGCTAGGGTCCCAGCTATGGGGAAATAGTTAACCCTAAAACTGAAGTAAAAAGCATTTATAAAATATTACAACTATACGTTTTTGAAGAAAAAAAATATTGCCAGTTATACGATTTTTTTGAAAAAAAAAAAAATATTACCAGGGGGGAAAAAAGAAAATAAAGTTGTTGGCATTAAATGACCCATTGAGGTTGATATGCCATAAAACAAACCAAACCTTTTTTTAAGCTTTGGGAGCTAAATCTGGACTGTGGGCGTGGATTGACAAGCCTGAGGTTCTGGCAAAAAGACCTGCATGGTACATGAACAGTTGATATTTTCAAAATAGCTGAATACTTTTCAAACAATCCTGATCTTCTAGTTGAACTGTCAATGTCTGATTTCCATTCATTGCCATGTGTACATGTTCAATACTGGTTGATTGCCAAATTAAATCAAAGCCATACAACCAGTTCTCAAAATATTCAAAATTGCTGGATGTTTTCTGGACAGACCTCGTAGATTTTTCTCAATATCATCTGCAGTTTATGGTATTTAATTAGATAAACATAGAGGAAAAATATTGTTAAAAAGGTCCCCCACCCACAAATCCAACTATACAACAACCATTTATGAGTTTAGCGTTTAAAATCTGGCACCTACCATAGCATGAGGGTTAATGATCCATAATGAATTAAGCGATACTTCAGGAAAAGTGTGTGAGAGAGAGAAAGAGCGCATATCACTTCCCCCCTTCCCGTCTGTCTGTCTCTCTCTCTCTCTTTCTGTCCTCTTTTCCTTCTGTCTGTCTGTCTCTCTCTTTTCCTACCTTCCCGTCTGTCTGTCTGTCTCTCTCTTTTCCTACCTTCCCGTCTGTCTGTCTGTCTGTCTGTCTGTCTTTCTCTCTCTTTCCTACCTTCCCGTCTGTCTGTCTGTCTCTCTTTTCCTACCTTCCCGTCTGTCTGTCTGTCTGTCTCTCTTTTCCTACCTTCCCGTCTGTCTGTCTCTCTTTTCCTACCTTCCCGTCTGTCTGTCTCTCTTTTCCTACCTTCCCGTCTGTCTGTCTCTCTTTTCCTCTATTCTTCCCCCCCCGGAACTTTATTTCATCTTTCATTTAAAGTTGATATTTAACCTCCTTAGATTTGTTTAGTGTGACACAAGATCACAAAAGCAGGGCAACCACTGAAAATTGAATTCCTAGCACACATTAACCCTTGTGTAAGAAGCTTAATAACTATTGTTTTTTTCAATCTTGGTAGAAATTGATGTAAAAAAAAGTTCCCAGCTAATTTTTTTTTTTTTTTTTCTTTTCATAGAAATTCATAGCATCATCACCAACATATTCTCTCTGATTTTTCTATGATTTAAGTTATACATTCCATAATTTAAAAAATAATTTTGAATGCTTTGAAGAATTTTTCAATATTCAACTTATTGGAACCACTGATTAGACAAGGGAGTGTTAGTCGAAAATGGACTGGTCTGAAGAATGTCCTGTATGTGAAGGAACATCCAATTCCATCTTTCATTGTTGTTTGCTGTGTTGCATTTGCAATATGAGAACAGGTAGTCATATAACTATAATCACTAATTGACTTTGTTTTTCCTCTGCTAAAATGAGTCACTGCTAAAAAACAATGATCAGCTAGCAATTCTCATCTTTTTGAGGCAAGAATAATGGAAGCTCTAATACAACAGTATTCACTGTTTTCATAAAACTGATAAATCCATAACTATACTTATTTTTGTTTTACTTTTTTAAGGATTTAATGTAACAGAAATATCTGCTGATTCAGTTATTGAAAATGGAAGTTATCTTTTTCTTTTTTTTTTTTCCAGGTGGCTATTCAGCTAAATGACACTCATCCATCTCTTGCTATTCCTGAACTAATGAGAATACTTGTTGATGTTGAAGGCATACCTTGGGACAAGGTAAGTTAAAAAGTTTCTCATATATATATATATATATATATATATATATATATGTTACAGACAATTACTGCAGCACAAAGCTTAAAAAGATGATAAAAAAAAAACAAAACAACTTGCCATCTAGAAGACATCAGGTTTACCACTACATAGTGGTTGGATTCTTTTCAGGGTCAAATACACAAATTCATAATAACCAACAGTAACCAATGACAAATGCCAATATACAAATTAACAAGATTTAATTATAACTAGACTAGCACTTCTTAAACTACAGTTCACGACCCCAAATGAAAAAAAAAGGGCTCAATATAAGAGTAGAGCAATAAATATTTTGTCATGATGACTTGCATGTTACAATGTACAGAACAAATATTGTAGATTGTTTATAAGTTTGTTTTTTTACATTTAATTTGGGCCAAGTCGTAGCTTAGTTACAAATTTGCATTTATAAAATGGACTGACTGGATATACCAAAATATCAAGTATTTTCATCACAACTCCTGTAATTAAATGAAAACTTCAGGCTTAAAGTTTGTTGCCTCATTCATATAACTTTATATATTATGACATTGATTATTGTTTACTTATATTAAAAGTACTATATTACATTTGTATTCAAATAATTATTAATTAGTTAATTCATCTAGATTAACTGTAATTTTTTTATTTTGTTTGGCATTATTGCAGTTATGGCCATTTACAATGTATTTTTTCTTTTATTTGACTTGAATGAAATATAACTAGTTGTTTTTTTTTTGTTTGTTTTTTTTGTTTTTTATGAATTTCAAAGATATTTTATGGAAAATTTAAAAACCAAAATCTTCCTCTTTTTCTTATAGGCCTGGGATATTACCGTGAAGAGCTGTGCTTACACTAACCACACTGTTTTACCTGAGGCCCTGGAAAGATGGCCAGTACATCTGATTGAAAATCTGCTGCCAAGACATCTCCAAATAATTTATGAAATCAATGCCAGATTCTTGAAGGTGAAATTTTTAGCTATCCTCTCATTGGGACTCAAATTTTCTGTAAAAGTTTTTTCTTTGAGTTTATCTTGAGGCTTTATGATATTACCAGTTACTCCAGCATGCTTAACCTTTGTATGTGCACCAAATAAAGGTCAACTATTGATTTTTCCATAATGGTGGTCTGGTATCATCTTAATCTGGACAAAATTCCAAGTGCAATGCACATCTGTATAGACTGACTGTTAGGCTGCTAAAGTTTTGTTCAGTACAATGCAGCCTAGAATTAAATGTGTATGTGTGATTGCATGTATGTTTATATACAGTGTACTTATACCCAAATTACTAATCGCTCATCGATTAACAAGACTTACCATGTTGAAACCCCATTTCTTAACTGATCATCAAAGTTAAACAACATCAAGCCTGGTCAGTTCCTAGATGGATGACTACTTGGGAATTATCAGGTGCTCTAAACTTGGATGTGTGGGTGGTATAATGGATAATGGCACTCCTTTTTTCCCCCCCCTCTCCCCTTTCCCCCTCTCTCTCTTTCTCCCTCCCTCCTCCCCCCCTTTTTTTTTCACTCTCCCTCCTTTTTTTTTCCCTCCTCCCTTTCCTCTTTTTTTCACTCTCTCCCTTTCCCTCCTTTTTTTTTCTCTCTCTCCCTTTCCCTCCTCTTTTTTTTCACTCTCTCTTCCTTTCCCTCCCTTTTTTTTTTTCTCTCTCTTCCTTTCCTCCTCTTTTTTTTTTTCTCTCTTCCTTTCCCTCCTTTTTTTTTTTCTCTCTTCCTTTCCCTCCTCTTTTTTTCACTCTCTCTTCCTTTCCCTCCTCTTTTTTTTCCTTTCCCTCTCTTTTTTTTCCTCTCCTTTCCCTTTTTTTTCACTCTCTCTTCCTTTCCCTCCTCTTTTTTTTCTTCCTTTCCCTCCTCTTTTTTTCCTCTCCTTTCCTTTTTTTTTTTCCTCTCTCTTCCTTTCCCTCCTTTTTTTCACTCTCTCTTCCTTTCCCTCCTCTTTTTTTTCACTCTCTTCCTTTCCCTCCTCTTTTTTTCACTCTCTCTTCCTTTCCCTCCTCTTTTTTTTTCTCTCTCTTCCTTTCCCTCCTCTTTTTTTCACTCTCTCTTCCTTTCCCTCCTCTTTTTTTTCACTCTCTCTTCCTTTCCCTCCTCTTTTTTTCACTCTCTCTTTTAAATAACATTATATTAGGGTATCTATTTATAAACTGCTAAAGGTTTATTCTTAAGTACCTTGTGTTGTCTGCATAGCAAGGTGATAACTATGTTATAGACATCACTTTGCTGTATAGCCATTAACTGACTTCCATGTAATAATACAGTTAGGAAATGGATAGGGTAAGTAAGAAAGAGGAAAAAAAGAAAAGCTAGTGGAAGGTATATAAAGAAAGAAAAAATCACTTCATCTAGATAGGTAGACATGTTTTTATTATTTTTATTTTTATTTTAGGAAGTTTCCCAGAAATTTCCTGGTGATAATGAACGTGTAAGGAGAATGTCTCTGGTTGAGGAAACAGATGAAAAGAAAATCAACATGGCTCACTTGAGTATTGTTGGATCTCATGCCATCAATGGTGTTGCTGCCATCCACTCTGAGATCATCAAGAATACAACGTAAGAATCCAAGAAATACTTATTTTTATTCTATTCTCTTTCATCGTCATTACAAAACATTAGATTTGTATTATATTTTTATAAGATTGTTAACTTTCAAGAGCTTCTTAATATTTTCCAATAAAACTTTGTGACTTGTTTCACAAGGAGGATTTAATAAATGAATGTTAAACTTCTTTCACTTTAATGATTACATATAATATAGTGACGACAAAAACTCTGTTCATTGTTTGTTTTTTTTTTTTTTCCTGACAATGCTCATAGTTATATTTTAGCACTGCGTGCATTTGAACCTGGTATATATATATATATATATATATATATATATATATATATATATGAGAGAGAGGCAAGGATGAGTATGTAGTGTTTAGTATGGAAAGCAGAATCTGCAAGCCAAGGTAAAATTTTAGCCTAGTCTGTTGCATTCACTTTGTACTAATAGTTTTGTGAAAGACTTGAAATTTCTTTCTTCTCTTCTCCAGCTAGGGGTTAAATAGCAGGGCATACTGGGTTCTCTATCCTTGGAAGTTCTAGAAAAAACTAATCTGAATTCAAAACTATGGAGAAGGTAGCAGGAAATCACTCCTGCATCTTTCCCAAGAAGTCATGATCTTTTACAAATAAAGAAAAGGAATTTGTGCAAAGCTATAGTTCTCTGCCCTGAAAAAAATGACACTTATACAAGGTTTGAACAAAAACTGTCAAGTTTGGTGCCATTAAAAAAAAAAAAAAAAACTACAAAAATCTCCTTGAAAGTTACCCACTTTCTGAAGCCACACACTTTATCCAGCATCATTTTCATTGCTTATTTGGGGAACATTGTGCTTGGCTGAAAACTGCTTCACAAGCCATGGTTACTGGTGGAGCCATTATGATAGAGTAAGATGACCACACTCTACACACTTTCCTTCCAAGCACTGTTACAATCAATGAAATTTAGTGGGAATGTTATAACTTAGTGTGTATGCATGATAGTTCAGTCAATCTGTGCCAAGTGGCTTCCCTCTACAAACTTTAGCCCTATTACCATAGCAACAGTGATACTTTTTGATTCTCTCTCACTCTCACACACACACACACACACACACACACACACACACGGTTTTGCTGCTGGATCATGCAGGTATTATGCTCTAATCTTAGGTAATAAAAAAAAAAAAAAAAAAGTATAACATAGGTACATATGTTACCCCCACACACTTAATTTCGTGAAATTTCACAAACTTTTCTATTTCATGATTTTCATTTTTTTTTAATTTGTTAAAAGTAGGACTTCTTGGAGAATCTAAATCGCTTAAACTTTTTTCAAACATGCACTATTCTAACTGAAAATCTGCTCTGAATTGAAAAATAATGAATGCAATAAAACAATCTATTTAATTAGAAAACTTTTAATTGCTTTGTAAATAAGTTATATTAAGGACATTATTGTCTGAAGAAATAAACATTTTTTGATAAATAATGAATTTTTACAAGAATTTTTTTCATTTTTTTTTTTTTTTTTTTTTAAATTTTAATTATAATAATTTAAAATCATAAAATTCTGTATTGGGCTATTTCCTTGATGTGATATAGTAATTAAGTGGAAACAAAATTTACAAATCCAAAATTTGAAAAGATTAATAAACGTAGTTACACTATTCTATTTTTAGAATAATTTTTTATTTATTTTTTACTTAATTTGTTCCCTATTTTCATCTATGAAAGTCTGTGACATTATTATGAAACTGACATGATCAAAGAGTTTTGTCTCTTTACAGAGAAATTAAGAAAAAATTGTATTTAAAATTTTTTATTTTTGCATAAAGTATTTTCAAAAGGTAAATAAGTCAAATTATGGAAAATATGTTCATTCTGTAAAAATTACTAGATAGTTAAAAACAAAACAAAAAATGTGTTCACTTAGATTTCTTAAATTTTGTATCAACTCTAGCCACCCATATTAGCTTTCATCACTCATTGGCCATCCATTATCACCTCAGATAAGCTATTATAAGCAGGACCAATCATTAAATAAATGGTTGTATATTAATTTTTATGCTATAAGTAATATTTATTTCAAGTCAGATTAATTTAACTTTAAATTTTCTAATTTTACACAAATGTAAGAAATGTGTATTTTTTGAAAGAATTTTAAAATTGATAAATGTTTTTGTTTACAAATTTCTTAAATTTAAGAAAATGGCCACTTTTAAGAAATCAAAATTAAATTTGACATTTCAATCTAATTTCTATCTGAAATACACCAGAATATTTCTTTACTGGAAATAATAAATTTTAACTTTCAATTAAAGCTAAAATGAAATCTTCAATATTTTTTTTTTTTTTTTCATTTTTTAAAATTCATTTTAAACTTAGGTGCCAAAATAGTGGCGGTACCTATATAAATCAAATAGTATTTTATTATTGTCATTATTTTTCTTTTTTTGATTAATAAATATATTGATAATTTTTCTTCTCTTCAACAGTTTCAGAGATTTCTTTGAAATGTACAGTGACCGTTTCCAAAACAAGACAAATGGCATCACACCCCGTCGTTGGTTACTTCTCTGTAATCCTGGTCTGTCTGATGTCATCACTGATGTAAGCTTTTAAGTTTTTTTTTTTTTTTTATTTCCTGAATAGCAGCACCTATACAATTGTGAGTTTTAAAATTTATTTGATTTCTATTAAAAAAAAAAAAATGTTACTATATCAAAACTTATAAATGTTATTGTTATATTTACAAACATGATGCAATTGTGTATTGCTTTTGTTCTTTTAATTACAAGCAAACAATTTGTTTTAGTGGGATATAAATATAGGGATATAAACTCATATGAAATAAACTCATAATTATGAGTTACCTGAATTTTGTTTTGAAGCATTTTTTTTCATTAGTTTCTCTTTAATCTTAGATTAAATATCACAACAAACAATATGGAATTGAAAGGTCTTATTGGAAGATTTTTATTATAATTCATATCCTTGAAAGCCTGAATTTTAATGATTAGGCTACAAAAGTTAACTAGTAAACATTATTCAAATCATTATCTGATTTTTACTGATATATTTTTCTTTACACTTAATAGTAGTAAATGTAAGCCTTAATTGTCCAAATTTCTTAAAAGATGGTCATTGTATCCCAGAAACAAAAACAACACAGAAAAGAAAAACAAAGTGTAAAATCTATCAACAAAATATCTAATAGTGAAGTTAGTCCCTTAACAATACAGTGTTATTTTGTCAGTATTTGTAACATATTAATTAAATGTTTCTTTTATTTACAGAAAATTGGAGAGGATTGGGTGACTGACCTTTACAAGCTGAAGGAATTGAAAAACTTCATCACTGATGAAAATTTCCTCAGAGATGTTATGAAAGTGAAACATGTAAGAAATTCTATTGTTTGTCTTTTATACTTTACCATTGTTCCCCCACCCTCTCTGCTCCTTGCTCTTTTGGAGATCCAAAAGCAGATCTTGAGACGCTAACTTTCGCATCCTGTCAGCAGGACATAAAATACACTGACTGCTTTCCCTGTAGAAGAGTAAGATCAAGCTTACAGGCATTTACTTATCTCTGAACTAAGAAAATGCTTGTAGACTGAAATGTATTTAAAAAAAAAAAAAACAAAACCTGCCAACCCAACCCTGGCTCTTTCATCAGTATTCTAGCTGATATTAATAAGGATGGTTTAAATTGTTTCCATTCCTTCACAAGGAGCTTTGTTTCCTTATTTCTCTTATTATCCTTGCAAACTCTGGATATTTTACCAGTTTTTGCATTCAAGTAAATGCTATTGTTTTAGTAGATTGCATTTTGACAAACTATCTTACTTCCTATGACTAGATATAATATTCTGATCTAAATTGAGTAATATATTTCAATGTCTAGGTCCCAGAAAATGTTACTTGTTTTTTATTCTTTGAGGCACTTTCAAATCCCTTTTTTATAGGTTTTCCTTTTTTGGTTCCTCTTGTGTGTCAATTTGTTTGTTTTTTTTTTTTTTTTTTTTTTTTTTTTTTTTTTTTTTTTTTTTTTAACAGTATAAAAGTTAAATTCAATTCTGAAACAGAATGAAGCTCTGATGTTGTAATCTTATAAATTGACTGCATTTTTTAATCTATTTTTAGGAGAACAAGATGAAGTTGGCTGCTTACTTGCAGAAGACTCAAAATATCAAGATCAATTGTTCATCAATTTTTGATATCCAAGTGAAGAGAATCCATGAGTACAAAAGGCAACTCTTAAATATACTTCACATAATTTACATGTACAACAAGATTAAGAAGAATCCAAATGCACCATGTGTTGCCAGAACTGTCATGATTGGTGGGAAAGTAAGTGCTATATTTTAAAATTAATCACTTTAATGATATAGTGTAGTAATAATGTCAACAATCATTTAAATTTTGTGCAAAACATCCAGAGCAGTTCTTTGCAGGGAAAGATAAAAATGTTCTGAGAGAAAAGAATTGAACTCTACTTACAAATGAATAATCTGAGAGGCCAGCTTACTAAGTAGCTAGTTATTATTCCAGGGTGGATTAATATTGTTCATTTCTTTCCCTAGATATATATCATACTTATTATAAAACCCAGGTTGTGTGTGTGTGTCTGTATGTTTATATATTGGATCAGATTTCCTACATTTTTCAACCGATTTCAACAAAACTTCACAGGACTACGTAAAATTACCTTGCGGTGGTTCTGACAGCGCCAAAAATTGGAAAAACACAATTGTTTTTGCACAAAATCAATTTGAAAATACAATTAAGAGGCATCGCAAGAATGAAAGGGGGACAACTCATATCGAATTATACTTATTATAAAACCCAGGTTGTTTGTGTGTGTTCCTTTATATATGGATCGGATTTCCTACATTTTTCAACAGATTTCAACAAAACTTCACTTTTTTTTTTTTTTTTTGGCAGGTAGTGTTTCTTATTGTCTTGCACACTTTTTTCTTTATTTTTACATTCAGAATGCTTTAAAAATTTCATTTACAAGACAATTGTTTATAATAAAATTCTATTCATTCGGTAGACTCATAACTATTGAAAACAATGTTTTTGTTTGAGTTTGACCAATTTGTAAAAAAAAAAAAAACAAAACTAATTAAGACATGCGTGTCCATCAACCTTAAACAATAATCTTTGTCAATTTTATTTTTCAGTCTTGATGATGGTCGATACTTGATCTATCTCTTACTGTTACATCCCCGGACAACGCCGGGCTCTTCTGCTAGTATTTTATAAAAATTATGACTAAACTTTAAACTTTTTTCATAGTTCTTTATGAAATAGTAAATAGCTATTGCAATTATTATTGTCTTAATTTTTGAATAAATATTTTTCACATTTATTTCATTATAAAATAGTAAATAATAGTTATAAAAAGTAAATAATAAATATCGCATTGTACTTGTTTTTATAATCATACAAATAAACTTTAGCAAGGGAGTGAATGTAGTACAAAATAATCATGGTGCCAAGGGAAAAACCATCCTTTTGATTTTGAATTTTTTTGAGCATGAAAGTTTCTCACAAAATCATTATATTTGCAGAATCTTTCTGCTTGACTCTCTCTACCCTCTGCCATCCTGGGTATGGTGATAAACTACATCCATGTCCTGGGTAAGATGATAAACTACATCCAACAGCAAAGCCTCTGATCAGGAGGTTTTGAGGAGCATGGAACCACCTCTTAATTGCTGGTGTTCCCAGATCCACCCTGACCCAGGATGGTAGCACCTGTTAGGGTCCCAGCTATGGGCAAATAGTTAACCCCTAAACTGGGGTTAAAACACTATGAAAGTGTAAAAATAGGTCTTAATACCAGAAATACTTTGTGTAACAAAAAAAAAAAATTATCAGCAATACATTTTAGGCAAAAAAAAAAAAAAAAAATTTGCCAGCAATACTTTTTTGAAAAAAAACCATTATCAGCTATACATTTTTGAAAAAAATATTACCAGAAATAGATTTTTTGAAGGAAAAATATAAGCAATACATTTTTGAAAAAAAAAAACCAATAATAAAAATTGTTGGCATTAAATAACCCATTGAGGTTGATATACCGTAAAACAAACCAAACTCTCTACCCTCTGAGACCAAGAGAATTTTTGTTATATCAAGTCAGTGAAATATTTAAGTCACTCCTGGAAAATTAATGTCTTCATCACAATTTATGAATTGTTTTGAATCACAATGCAATTCACTCTCAAAATAATATCCAAGACTAATTTCTTAAGAGATGATATATCGCTCACTCTCAAGCAGTTAACATGTTCTTTGATTATTCTACAATAATAGTTTTATTGGCTCAAAGTCACTGGTATTTAACCAAGTGTCAAGGCATTGCATGCATATTTAATAGCTTGAAACAAGTGCCAAAAAGACTACAGCAATTCTAGTCACAAAGCAACTCGGTCCAGTGAATTCCCAAATAAGTCCCCTATGCACTCAATGTTCTGAACCTCAACCTTTTTAACGTCTATTTAAAATTCTACCTCGTCTTTACAGGCTGCACCTGGTTACCACATGGCCAAGCTGATTATCAAACTCATTACTGCTGTGGGTAACATTGTCAACAATGATCCCATCATTGGAGACCGGCTGAAAGTGGTTTTCCTGGAAAATTACAGGGTTTCTCTGGCTGAAAGAATTATGCCTGGTGCTGACCTCAGTGAACAAATCTCCACTGCTGGTACAGAGGCTTCTGGTACTGGCAATATGAAATTCCAACTGAATGGTGCCCTCACAATTGGAACACTTGATGGTGCCAATGTGGAGATGTGTGAAGAAATGGGACCAGAGAACATTTTCATTTTTGGTATGACTGTTGAAGAAGTAGAGGAACTCAAGAAGAAAGGGTATGCAAATTTTTATCTTATTTTTTTTTTTTCCTATGTTATAAATTTCAGAAAATTGCAAAATAGATTTGTTATTTGGGCCTCAGCATGTTTTTAATGTTGTTGTCATGCTTATTTCAAAGCAAACCAGATAAAAATCAAGAATACTTTTGGAAAATTAACTGCAATCAGCTTTAACTTTAAAAATAAAATGTGGGACTAGGATAGGCAGATAGAATAATCTGTTCCACTTAAATTCTTCTGACTCCCCATTTCAACTTCTGTGTATGTGTCCCTTCAAGACATTTGTAGATCTTAGTAAGCTTTGTCTTTTTGTTATCTTTGCTAAACCCTGTTCTGCCAACTGTTTACACATCTGTCCCTCTTGTCTTCAATGTCCTGTGAGTGTCAAATTTTCGATGTCCTCTTTTCTCATTATGTGCCCTAGAAATTGCAACTATCTCTTTCTGATGCTAAGCATAAGAACTTTGTCATTGCTCACATGTTCAGTCCATGGTATTCTCAACATCATTTTGTAGAGCCACATTTCTGTTGCTTCAAGCCTCTTCATTTGTGAGGAGATTATCCAACATTCACTGCCATATATATATATATATATATATATATATATATATACACACACACAATATTTTATAACAGTTCAGTACTCTTTTTTGTTTCTAATTTAAATTTTCCTGTAATACTTTGCTCAACTTTTGGAAGGCATTTTTGGTTATCCTAATGTACCTTTGGATTTTTGTGTCTCACTTTCTGCCCTCTGTTAAAACACTATGCAGATATTTAAACTTTTATGCTTGATCTTGATATCTCCAGTTTGTAATTTGCTTGTAGCACTGTCCCTTTTGCTGACAACCATTCATTTTTTGCCTTCTTACAATTGCTGTTTAGTCCTTTGTTCTCACTTTCTTTCTTTTATCTTCTGTAGGAGTTCCTGTAGTTTACTTTCTGCGTCTACTACCAATGTTTTATCATCTATATATCTAATCTTAAGATTGTACTATATAGGTTGAATATGTCTGGTCCAAATGAATTACTTATGTAGAGTTTGCATATAAATTTGTGCATTGATAAAAAAAAAATCATCCTTATTTCTGGTTAGATAGTTAATACTGAAGCTATTCTATATGTTCAACTCAATGTTTGTTTTTTTTTTTTTTTTTTTTGAGGCCACATTGTTCTTTTTCAATAACTTCACATGTACATACATAAATTGAAATAAAACAGTAATAAGAATCCTTTGACTGTAAAGTGAAATATATTGTCCTGTTTTCTAATTGACAAATTGGGCCAATCTATGACTAAAACATGTCATTCAAAATATTAACTGATAGCTTCTCTAATTTCAATAAATTATAGATAATTTGACTTTACTGTGTTTATGGCAATGAATCTGCTAAGCAACTTTAAAGTAGTTAGTATAGAAAAAGTATGATTTTGAAAGAGTAACATCTAACAGAAGTCAGTAAATATTTTTAAGGGTTAACAGAAGTGACAGTTTAAACCAATGACTAAACAAAGTATAAAATTATCCTACAGTTTAAATGTTTTAATAAATTGTAAGCATCTTTTTTTGTTAATTCTCTTTATTTTTATAGCTACAACCCTCATACTTACATTGAAAAATGCCCTGATCTGAAGCAGATCCTGGAACAACTCCGTAACAACTATTTCTGTCCCCATGAGCCTGGTCTTTTCAATGATATTTATAACACCTTAACTCATCATGACACGTAAGTAATTGTTGTTTTCTCAGATAAGACCAAAGTAATAAGTTTAAATTTAGAGAAATTAAAGCTCAAAAGCATTATTTAAACAAATAAACAAAATATCCACTTAATTTTATTTTTTTTACTATTATGCTCTTTCTCCTAATATTGAGCACTATAATCAAAGATGAATTGACTTACAAAGACATTACCTTCCAGAAATAACTCTCTCCTCTACCCATTTTCTTCCTCACTACTTTTTACCTCTCTCCTTTGCCCCTCTGTCTCTCCTTCCCTCCTCTCTACATTGTTCCTCTTTCTCCTACTTTCTTTCTCTCTCCCCTGTTCTACTTTTTCTTTGTTTCTCTCCCCCTTTCTTTAATTCTCTCCTCTCTCTCCCTCTATCCTTTTTCTGTTTCTCTTTCTCTCCTTTCTTTCTCCTCCTCCTTTCTCTCTGCCTTTCTGTCTCTCTCCCCTCCTTTTCTCTCTCCTGTCTCCCCCATTCTTCTGTCTGTGTCTCTCTCTCTCGCCTCTTCTTTTTTTTTTTTTTCTTCTCTTCTTCTTTTTTTTTTTTTTTTTTTTTTTTTTTCTTTTTTTTTTTTTTTCTTTCTTCTTTTTTTTTTTTTTTTTTTTCTCTCCCTCTTCTTTTTTTTTTTTTTTTTTTCTCTCGCCTCTTCTTTTTTTTTTTTTTTTTTCTTTTCTCTCGCCTCTTCTTTTTTTTTTTCTTTCTTTTCTCTCGCCTCTTCTTTTTTTTTTCTTTCTTTCTTTTTCTCTCTCTCTCTCTCTCTCTCTCTCAACATTCTCCTTTCTCTCAGTGAGATCATCCACCAGTTTATAGTGTAAAATCTGCATATTTCAACTTAATTTTGATTATTTTAAGATTAATAATCCAATCTATTTCTTCAATTTAATTCATTAAGACTTTAAAAAAAGAAACTGAATGCAATTATTTTACAATTTCTGAGTAATTTATCTTTTCCTCCATATTTTATCATAACAGCCAGATCGGTAGACATCCCACAATTAAATAATAGGAGAGATGAGAAATAAATTTATATATAACAGTTCATTTTAAGACAATTTTTTTTTATGTTTATACATTCTTTTTATTTTTCATGTGTGATGTCATAACAGTTCATGTTTACATTCTACAAATAAGGATTGAAATCAAAAATTCATACTTACCTTAATTTCTTAGCTGAAACCTCTTAGCAATAAAAATGATTAAAAGATTTAACTTAATGCATTATTCTCTAGTATATTTTCTCCTTCATTTTCTTTTACTCTTCTGACTTTTTTATTTTAATATATAAAATTTTTTCCAGCTACATGTTGTGTGCTGACTTTGACAGCTATATAAAATGCCAAGCCAAGGTTGATGAACTCTTCAAGGTAAGAAACAGCTATTTTTATCTAGTTTAACTCTCCATTGAAAGACATTAAGTAAGACTGGAGAAAATAGTGATATTCTTAATAGCTATGAATTGTATAATAGTTTGATCAGAATAAACATTCAGAGATTGGACAATTTGGGCTACACTCTGCACTTGTACTGAGAAAGTTGTAATAATGATAAAAATTTAAATGTTTTCTGTAGATTAGCTAAAAACAAAAAACCTTCAGTATTCACTTACAAACTATTTTTTTTCTTCTGACATAGGCTTAGTTTTGTTACAGCTTTGGCTATGAAGCACATGATGATTTAAGTCTCTTATTTGGACTACTGCTAACATTTTCTCAAAATCCACTCGAGGTAGAGGATTAAAGAATAAGAAGCATAGTTTATGGGGATATGTGAGGAAGACAATGGTTGACTCTTAGACTTGAACAGTTTAAGATTGTAGTGATTGAGAAAGTATGTGGTTGTGAGTTGGTTCCACAAAGCGCTGATTCACAGGAAGAAGCTGCTCAAGTGGAATTTACATCTAACCAATGGATTATGAAGGAAATGAGGATGGTTCGCTACAATGTAAATGGCATTGTTAGAACTTTGCAACATTTCATCTGTACCCACAAGTATGTGGAGACACTTTTGGATTCAATCAAAACTGGAAAGTGAAGACTGTATCTCCTGCCTATATATGGCAGCAGTACTCCATTTTAAGCCTGATCTAACTCTTGCAGAGGTGTCAAGTACTTACTGGGGCAATACAGGGAACTAACATATGTATGAATTCCACTTAAGGTTTGAGTTGAGCTTAAGTCCCAATATGCACTCATTGCAGAGGACCACTCAGAGAGAACCCCTGTTCATCACAATCCTTATATACATTCTAACATTTTTCTAGCAAGTCAGTAGCTTCTTATAGTCTTCATAGTAGTAGGTATTTTGTTACATTAAAATGTAAGTGTGAAATTACTAAATTTGTCTACCTAAGTTCATAGGAGTAAAGAATAAGACTTGTGTATACAGATATAGTTTAGCATCGATTTGAAATGGAAAATGGTATCTCGCATTTTTTCTTTTTGCATGAATTTTACTTGTGTATAGTGCAACTTGTCATCAAAAATGTATGAATTTTATCTCTTCAAAAGAAATTAGTGAAACCCCCCTGACTTTTTTTCTTTTTTGCATAAAACTCTCACCATATTTGAGTATTATCAGTAAAGTGGACTAAAAGAATCTTGTTGAATATTTGGATTATTAGCTTGTTGTGCATAGCTTCATCTAGTTAGTCAATTCATACAATTTTTCTCACTGGAGAAAAATATCACCTATTTGCTGATTGACTAATTTTCTTGTTTTGTAACTCAATTTTATTTGATTTTGTGGTAAATATAGTATAATAATATTAAAATTTATATGGAACTTCAAATAATTTCTAAATAAAAACAATTCTTGACAAATCTAATTTTTGCAATGTATACAAAGGTTTGTTGGAAAAGTGAATTGTGAATTTTTTTTTTTTTTAATTGGAAAATGTTTTTTCTGCTAAACAGTGTTAATTGTTAAAATATTTTTATCTTTAAGTATTTTTTTTTTATTATTATTGGCTGTTAAAATTTTTTTTTTTTTGTTCTAGAACCCTGCTGAATGGGCAAAGAAGGCGGTTTACAATATCGCTGCCTCTGGCAAGTTTTCCAGTGATCGTACAATTGCTCAGTATGCCCGTGAAATCTGGGGGGTAGAGCCCTCTGACTTGAAACTCCCCCCACCTGCTGAAGCTCCCTCAGAGTAAATACAAAACACCTTCAATACATGCCCTCTGCCCACTACTGTGATGCTGCAAGTATGTCCTCACTGCTGATTGGTATTAATTAATTATTCAGAAATAATTTTTAATTAACTGGCTAAAAGCATAATCAGTCTTCAAAAGGCAACATATATTCAACCACCTATTGCAAAATGTTTACCTGGCTTTAAAAAACAAACAAAAAAAATTTAAAAAAATAAGGCAATACAGCTAGTAGTGGCTAACAGCCATTTTTATAAAAATTATTGCAAAAATTTAGTAACTGTATGAAGTTCTTAAATTCTTTGCCTATCTTTCTAACCTGAATTTCTTTTTCATTTCATATCTTTCCACAGATTAAAAACCAATCATTAATGAATACTTTTCCTTCCCCCACCTCCACTCCTTAAAATAAATCTTCCTGTTATAAAATGGATTCTGATTTTCATGTGTTAATATTGTTATTGCTGTTTTTTAACTTATTACATAATACTAAAATAGAGAATAAAATGATTTTTAAATTTTTTATTTATTGAGTATTTAAAAACAAAAACAAAAAAAAAAAAAATTACTATCCACGACCTGGAAAAAAAAAACTTGGACCTCAGTTTGTACAACAAATAAACCTTTCTCTCTTTATCTGTATACAGCGTTTCAATTCAAATTGAATTAAGAGAAAAATATTAAATTGTTGACAGCTATCAATTCATCTGTTTTTGTTGTTTTATTATATCAAAATTTGTTTTATATAAAAGATGGATTAAATTTTGCATTGAGTTTTCTCAAATTTTAAAAATTGTTGCAAATTTTAAGAAATTGTTTTTTTTTTTTTACATCTGTTATTCCCCACTTAATTTTATGAAATTTCAAGAAATCAAAATTTCAGCCCCTTCATATTTATATTAATTAAAAGCAGGACTACTTGGAGAATTAAATATTTTTTTTTTTTTTTTTTTCCAAACACTATTTATCAAGTTTGCTCTAAATTGTAAAATAAAAAATGCAATAAAACTAAGACATTATTTAATTAAAAAAAAAAAAAAAAAAAAACTTTTAATTGCTTTTATAAATAAGAGTTAAGAACACTATTGTCTAAAGAAAAACTTTTTGATAAGTAACAAATCTTTTTTTTTTAATTCCGTATTAAATTCACTCTTTTACATATTAAGTAAAAACTATTGGAGCAAAATAAGGTATGGCTGTTTGGAGCACCAGTTATACCCTATCATGAAACTCCCCACACAGAGCACAACCACCCAACTCATCAGCATCTGCAGCCCATCTGATGTTCTCTCACTCATATTCATTTCATAGACTGGCTGAGGCTTAGAAATTTGAACAAGCCACAAAATCATCTTGCAAAATCTCAAAGCTCTGAGATCAAATTGTTCTTATATTGCAGATTTTGGATTATCCATTTTTTTCACTTATTTTTCACACAAGACACATACAAACATGTTTTATTCCGGGAGGTAAGCCAATTTCACTTCGGTACTACTACCTGATCTAATGATTATATAAGTAGCAGGGAAATGGTGATCTCCTTTGACAAATGCTTCTTCATAAAGTTAGGTGGGGTTCATCCATCTCTTCATTTGAGTCCACAGGTTCTCTCTAGTTCTTGGCGGCATCATCATTGTTGTTGTCTTCCAACTCAATTTGCCTGCTGAACCAGAAGAAATCATCTGACTCTGCTCTGAAAAACAGCATTATTCTTGAATTGCTCTTGGACAATATACCACTAATGTCGTCTTCTGAAGAAATAGATCTGTGATGTAGACAAAGATCTTTGATGTGGTATGGTATTCCAGTGACAAGGACAAATTGTGAGCTATAGATCCCCATCACATTCCCTTTTTTTTTCTTTTTTAAATGCGTGGTGAATCAACAATATGAGGTCTTTATCCAGACTGCATGTCCTACTTTGTAGATTCTGGGATTTATATGTTCAAGTGGCATGGACTTTGATACCCTTTATACAGATTTGGTAGTTGTATATAGAGTTAGCTAGTGCTGTCACACTGTTGCATCATCTTTTAGCATAATGTTATACCAATATAACGCCTCCATGATGGACTAGCGGCAATTTGCTCGATGGTACAATGGCATCTCTCTATGATACCATTCTGTGATGGCAGATTGGCACACCGGAATCTCAGTTGGATGCCCCACTCCTCTGCAAATCTTGCGAGCATCTCTCACAGAATAGTGACTCCAACTGCTGGATAGTGCTAGCAGAGTCTTGGCGCAGTAACAATTGCCAGGCAGACCATGGACTTAGTAGATATTCCATCAGTCAGATAATGCCGGACTCCATAATGGGTTATATCCATTCCCACCCTGCTCCAATTGTCTTGCACATCCAGTTTTCCAACTTCCCAATGCACTAGTAGTACCAGTTGTATGGGCTGGCATACATCAGTCTCTAACCACTGCCCAAACAGCTGCTTTCGATACTTCAGGGCTGACTCGTTTTACAAAATATAATGTGTGCTTCATGCTAGGATTCCCACTACATTGATGGATGGTTCATATATGAGTGGATTCCTGTTCTTCTACGGATGCAGCACACATTGGCTCTGTTTCTTTCTGGAGTGTATCTAACCATCATTAGGCACTCTGGTGAGTTGATTGGCTTGGTTCACTTGATATCTGACAAATCCCACATTAATTGTTAACTCATATGATACAGCCAGTTCGCTGAGTGTACCAAGCCAATGTCTTATTAACATTTCTGTAGTGAACTGATAATCAAGTACCCCGGAAAAAGTTTGTGTTTTGTGTGCGATCTGCGGGGAGGGATTGCCAAAAAAGTAGTTAGCAAAACTCTTATAGCGACTTACCTCGTCAACCCAAGCGACAGCGCGTCAAAGTGTATTCTGTGATGAAAAAAAACAAGTCCGTCACAGGAGTCGCTATAAGAGTATATTAACATGCAAATTACAGAGCATCCTATCCCGGCAGTCGACAAATGGAAAAAATAGGTTCTGCCCGATAAAAGCAGTTGGTGTTGTCAACTCGGAAGGAAAATTCGGGCAGTTTTGGCTATGCGTTCGTGAGTTATTTTCCTGACGTTACAAAGTGATTTTCTTTCTTTGTGTTGTGAAAAGCCACAAATTTGCTTTGAGAACGCTTACTCTTCAATTTCTGACAATGCCTTTGTACGCACTCTCATTTTCCCAGACAACATATCAGAAACCCAGCAAGTCTGTCTTCAGTTGAACCATAGTTGCCTTCCACTGCAATGCCAGGTTGATGCCTCTCAACATCGTGTTGAGCTCCACCAAGTTGATGTTTACTTTGTGTACCATGCATACTCGACCAATTATCTACCACTTTCTATGACACCTGTAGCCATGGAACTTGTGTCAACTCATACAGTGACTGTGTCCTTTCACACACAAATCACCATGCATTAGATACTTTTGCACCATTCTAATGATGTCTGTCAGCATTCAAACCAGGAGCAGATACACATTTCCTCATCCTAGCCATTTATTACAGAGTTTGCTCATTGTTGTGATGCAGAGCCAAGGAAAAGATACCCCAACAGGTGAGTACACTAGACATCAGTGGGAGCTCACTCTTGAAGTTTACTCTGCTCCTCCCAGACATGCAAACCCAGCACATGGGTGCCATCCTTTAGCTGCTCTGGATTCTTGCTAGTCAGTCTGAATCATTCCTGATGTGCTCTTATGTGGGCCACATGGCACACACTCTCATTGACAAATATGTCATTGATGTACAAGGATGTAGCCCTTTGGATAGTTTTATCTTGCACAACCATGACATTGACGATTGATTGCATGATCAGTGATGCCACATTGAGCCCAAACCGCAAACAGGTAAGGCAATGCCTTTGCAACTTTGATTTCTGCCATTTGAAAGAGCCACAAAGATTTGTCCACATGAATTTGCAGATGCATTTGGCACAGATTCAGCACAACATCTGACCCTTCTTGTTACCACTCCCTCAATTTTTGCATGCAAACATCAGCATTAGCTGTGTGTGCATCAAGATATTGAGTTCTTGATAATACATAATGGGACAAAGCTTCTGCTTGTTTTCTTGCAGCACAGCCATTAGTGGGATTAAGCCTTAATGGTGTCCGAGCTCTTCAGGGTACAAATGTAGCCAACTGTTATCTATCCTAGTTTGCATCTTGTGAGCTGCTTCAATGCAAGATTCTCTGGTATCTGGATCTTCAGCATGGGTGGTGTCTGGTCACTAGACCACTTCCGTGAAGCCAACAGTTAGTAAATTGCTAGCATGTCCATCTGGGTTGAAGCTCAAAGAAGCCACTTCACCTGGTCTGGCAATCCCTTTACAAAAGCACATGCCAGTCCATGGTCACATATTCTGCTGAATAATACTGCTAGTTTTCGCAACTCCACCAAGTATATCAACCGATTCCCTATGACGAAGCAGTTGCTCATACACCACAAACCCATCCATCGCAAAATGCGTATACAATGAGGATTTCATTTGGTTAATATCTGCTCTTTTGTCTTCTCCCAGCTGCTGGTAGACAACAAATCCTCCACCCAACAACCTTAAGGAGACTGTGTTCAAGATGTCTTACAATGCATCTTGCATACAAGTTCTGCCTGACACATTCGACCATGGATGGTCCAGACATTGTGCCATTAAACTCAGGGATGAGTGTGATATCAAATTTCCCCTCCAACATTATGCCTATTGGGAGGCTGGAATGGCTTGTAGCAAAAAAGGTACAGCTCTTTGGAGTACCAGTTATACTCTATCTTCTTTTCAATCTCAATCAGTGAGACTACTGCTCATTTTATAGTGGGGTTAAAGCTCAGAAATTTGCATACGCCATAAATTTGTCTCAAGTTGTTCTTAACTTGCAGCTTTTGGATCAGCCATATTTTCTTTCATGTGCTTTGCACACAAGACACATACAAGCATGTTTTGTTCCAGGAGGTAAGCAGTTTTCCCTTTTACAACTATATTTACTAGTCATAAATGGAAAATGTCAGTACAA